AACACAGGAATATGTTGGTATATCATCCTACCCCGGAGGTCAATCATACTATAATAAAAGATTACCCCAAGGCTTAAGCTGTAGTCCTGCCAGCTTTCAGTCCAAAATTACAGAGGTTGTTTCAGAAATTCCTAATTCCCACCAATTTTGTGTAGCTATTATGTATGATGACAAGCATCCTATTGATAGTGGTAGTGGATCGAAGCTCAAGTGACAAATTTTCAGATGAAGATGATATCTGGTTAGAATTTCAAGCTCAGAGACAAAATTTGCCATGAAGGAACAGGTTTTCACACTAATGTTCATCATTTACCCAAGTCCACGCTTTCATGATGCATTCTGCTTTTTCAAGGCCGAAAGACACTCAAATGGGGAAGATGTTGAAGACAGATTTTATATTTATTTTATTAGATCTATTTTCTTGGGGAAAGAATATTGTTTTGGATCGTAGCTTACGTTGTATGAAGGACGTGGCTGCTGCACTAAGCGCCAAATATGTGGCAAAGACAAGCCAAACCAGTCGCTCGTCACAAATCCTATTTTTGAGATAATGGCCAAAACATGCTGGAATATCGAAATTTTGGAAATCAATTTTATTGCACTAAACTAACCCTTATATATCTATTACATCATGCTATGCTGTTATTTTCCTCAGTTCCAATTTTAAACCAAAAAATTTTAATGACTTGGCGATGGGTTCTGGCTAAGAAATGCCCAAAATCGCAAACTTTGTTCAAACTACTGTACCTTCATACAAAATGTCGGATTTAAATGATTCTTTTACCATTTTATAGCTCTCATTTTACTGTTTAAGCCTGTATTAATAACTAAAAATCGATTTTGCAACGAGAGAGTGGTTTGGCTTGTCTTTACCACATATGCACACACGAATGCTGCAGTGAGTGAAGTAAGACATGTTTGGTGTTCTTATGTTGATGATAGAAGTTGGAGGTTAGGGATGTAGATAAAAAGGAGAATGGAAAGGATGAATAAAGATGGAGTTGAAATCATTACAAACTTAGTGTTGAATCCGTTATATTTTGCGTCAAATGTCGAGACATTACAGATGGCGAAATATCATTTATAAGAAGCCATAGAAGGTAGAAAATTTGTAAATATGCAGAATTTAGCTGGTCCACCAGTTTTTTTGGCTCATCCTGGTGAGCCTACAATCAAATGGCAGCAATGGAAGGACATGTTTGGAAATTATTTACTTGTGTTCGGTCTTGATACGGCCTCTGCAGCTCGCTGAAAGGCTTTGCAGTTGCATTTCTTGGGTGCTGAAAGACATCGTATATTCTACACTATGGATGCAGAAGGCAGCGGTTGGTGATTCTGTAGCTGCTGAACATCATGATGAAATCAAGAGTATTTTGATAGCAGTAGATCATTATATCACATCCTTGAGGACATGAGGCAAAAGTTCCCGTTAGCAGAAATGGTCCATAGTGAGCTGTCAGATGGTTGAGAGTGAGCTGTCAGATGGTCCAGAGGGAGCTGTCAGCAACTCCATAAACTTGGGAGTTATAACAAGAGAGTCCTAAAAAATGGCTGGCTGGTGACAGTATAGCCATCGGAATGTAAACAAAGCAACCAAATACAATCACTCACTTCTAAACGTAATTTCATGGGTTTCAGTGGCACCCAAAGATCTTCAACATACCAGCAAGATGTATTACCCGAGTTTTTGTCTGCTAATGGAGAAATATGCAGCATGAACGTGGTAGCCGAGCGCTACAAGTTTCGGCAGCGTGGCCAATTGCCTGGTGAGTCAATCGAATCCTATATAATTGCGTTTAAAAAATTGACATTTCATGATGAAAAGATTCAAGATCAAGTTGTTGAAAGACCATAATAGAATATTAAAGGTCAGGTCGGGTAGTTAGAAGACCAGAAAGGTATGGAAATGAGAAGTACTATAGATATGTATTAATGTTGAGTTAGTTACAAACTTAATAGTGTTTAATGGTTTAAAGGGCAAAATATGCAAGGGGAGATTGTGGTGTTCTTAACACGATGTTCATGATAGACAGGGGCGGATTTGGGGGGGGGGCGGGATTAAAGATGGAGTTGTAGTTGTTACTAACTTAGTGTTGAATCCGTTATTACAACATGCATTTTATCAAATGCAGTAATTAGATCAGGTACAGTGTCATCATACTGATGGTTGTGACTTGTGAAGGTCGGCGATCATTCCTAAAGAATTGTTAATAGACAGCGGGTTTGAGTCATAACTTATTGAGGGCATGGCAGGGATTTTATTGTTGTTTCCTAAATTGTCTAAGTTTTCATGTTTGCTTAAAGTCAAGTTCACCATAAACATTCAACCACATTAATATCAAAGTCTTGAATCATTCAATACGGAGTCAACTCACAACATTTATTAGGTAGTTATATGGGTTGAATTTCAGTATATATCGTGAATAAATGAAATAATATACTGTAGTAGCAAAGCTCTTTATGGTATTAAAAATATTAAAAAACATCTTTTCTATGGAGTTTCCTGATGCAAACACTGTCACAAAAGTGAAGTTGTTTGTCATTTATCATTACACAATAATCTCTTTAAAAGCTCTGTACTGACTATCAAATTTTATTTGACAAAAACATGTGACATTGATATATATGGTCATGACGACATCACTTCATGACCCTATATATAGGTACATCAAAATTTGATAAGGTCAGAGCTTAATGGCCCTAAAGCCCCTTTCAGACAGAAAATACCGCAATAATACCCTAATCACAGCGTTATTATTGCCGGCGCAGACCCTTTCACACAGCTAGTTAAAATCCGGTAATAATCTCGCGGAAAGGAGTATTTGATGTCTGTGGCGCTTGTGCTTGTTAACAAAGAGGGCGCAATTTTTTGTTTACTCCATTAATCCAATATGGCTGGAGATGAAGTCATAAAACTGCTGCTTTGCAAATGTTTTTTAATGCTTGCTATGTTTGCAATACATATAAATTTGAGAAACAGAAGGTTTCTAATGCGTTTTGTTCAAGTGGAGAAAGAATTTAGGAAGCGTATAAGGCGAGGCCGGCTTTCGAGCAGCTAGGTGCAGGCGATTTTCGCGTCTAAAAAACCGTCAGCTAGCGATTTCATCGGCTTTGTTAGCTGCAGCAGCGGTTGATGGCTGCTCGCGTGACCGTCTGATTTGTTATGCCTCAGTGCGTAAGACGGCGATGAACCCTGTACCCCATCGAGTTCGGCAAAACTCGCTACGGTATTAAGACTATGTCCCGAGGAGGTCTAACCGAAGCCGGCGTTTAGCTGTATTTACCCTTTCACATAGAATGCCGGCGTTCGAGAAATACGATATTAATACCATTTTGCAGGTCTGTCTGAAAGGGGTATACGACACCTTGACGATTTAGCCAGCACATGCCAACGTATGAAAACTTTGGCGAATAAGCTGGAGTACATCGAATAAATTATTGGTAAGTTTTGTATAAGTTAAGAGCACGCTGAAGCACACTGGTATACGTTGTAGTATGGCGAGTACGTTAAAAAAAATTTTGTGCATGCATAAATTTTTTTTCGACATTCAGCATACACGGGCCATAAGTTATACGTAAGTTATGTGATCATTAACACGCGTTACTCGTAAGTTACTCAACAGTCAAATATGTCGCGATAATGTCTAGCGCACCCAAAACTTATTTCTCAGCCATGAGTAACACGCTTTGAACCTATATGAACTTACTGAACGTGCCTTACAGTTACCGTATAATGGCGTATTGGCAGCATTTAGGGGAATTGGTATATAAAAACAGAGGGATGTTGATACTGCGACAGTGATGTTAATACTGTGATGTCTAGTGTGGTTATGATATGAATCAATGAGTGGCAGCCTTTTTATAGGCTACATCACATGATCGTCAGGGATACGCTGCTGGGCACTGTGCATAAGGTACGGTAGATTATAATTGGGCCTAAATTGTGAATGCCGGCCGCACGCTAAGCATTTGTGAGGTCTCACCACGAAATGAGACGCATCGTTGGTGAAATCATATTGAGATATTCACCAAAACAGGCAAAAGTCAAAGTTTTTAGAAAATTTTGATTTTAATATATTTAAATGTATTTATTTTATGATTGTATACTTTGTAAGTGAATTTTCTTGCCAAAACACTGTTCTCTGCACACATTCTTTAATTCTAGTCATATTATTTGTACAGGTTAGTATATTTTTGAGGCTGATTTTCTCAAAACGTGGTTCTTATACACCTAAACTTTAAATGCTAACATCTCTGGATTTACTTATAGTAGGGAAGCCATTCAAAGACCAAATGAAAGCTTATAATGTGATTTACCCAAATATAATATAAACTCAATTTTTTAATTTCTAACCATGACTCATTTTGTGGCGAGACCTCACACTTGTTGGTACAAGTTTTCGACAAGTTATTGAAACGTTCTATATATAAGTTACTAATACGTTATGTATACATCCAACTCGTTATGAATACGCTACGTATCGCTAAAAATTGAAAAAAAAAAAAATCAATAACTCAGCGAATGCCAGCGGTTTAGAGAAATTTTGAAACGTTGTCATACCCTGAATAAATCGTCAAGTTGTGACAAGGCTATTAGGAATACCTCTTAAGGGCTTTACCCCTTCAGATACTGTACCCACCAGAGTGTCAATCGTCAAGGCCGTACATATGCTTGTTTCTCCCAAGCATATGTGGCAAAGACAAGCCAAACCAGTCACTCGTCGCAAAAATCGATTTTGAGTTATTAATACAGGGTTAGAGAGTAAAATAATAGCTATAAAATGGTAAAAAAATCATTCAAATCGGACATTTCCTTATGAAGTTACAAGCGTTTAACCACACAGCTGTTTAAAGAACAATATATGAGAAATTAGCCGTCAAAGTTTATGATTTCAGGCATTTCTCATGCAGAAACTATCTTTAAATCCTTAAAAGGTATTGTTTTAACATTGAAAATGGGGAAAATAACAGCATAGAATGATGTGTAGATATATAAAGGTTAGTTTAGTGCAATAAAATAGATTTTTAAAAATTTGACATTCCAGCATGTTTGGCAATTTTCTCTGAAACATGATTTGCGACGAGTGACTGGTTTGGCTTGTCTTTGCCACATATGTGTTGTCCCCCGCACATGCATGTTTTTACACTGGACTGGGGTTTAGCGGAATGGTTCATTAAGTGGTTATATCAATAGGAAGTTCTATATCACGCAATGTGTAGAATGATATATCACCATTGTCTACCACAGCCCAAACAAGTGGTGTGCCTCTTGCCTGACGAAGCAACTGCATCTGGGTCGACAGATTTGGTGGTTCCTCTTCTAACCTACATTTTAAAAGTGCAAAAAAAAAAATGACAGGAATAATAATATAAATCATTGACATAATCTAATATCAAACATGTATAACTTCAGACAGAGGGGCAACAATGGTGGTAATGGTAATGGTGGTATACTGTAGATGAGCTGGAACCAGGTGGGGTAGAGTTAGAAGGGAAGTGTTTGGCCATTTTTTAAAGATAACTGAAATGAGTCCGGATGTATTATGCCAGCTCGTTTTGAAAGAATGTAGAATGAAGTTCTACCTGCCAATTTTGTTAATGCCTGGTGAATGAAACAAAAAAATAAAATTTTTATATAGCACCCTCTATGTAATGGCAAATAGAGCACCCTCTATGTTATTTAAAAAAAAACAAAACTGTAGTGGAATTGGTATGAATTACAGTCCACGGTCGGTATAGCTTCGTTAAAAGAAAATTCTTTGGCATGTATCCACATTTTAATGACAAATTTACTTAATTTTTTATCAATTTTAAAGTATAATCGGGCTATACATTTTATTTGTTATAAAATTTTTATGAAGCATGAGATAGTACAATACATGCGTGAGATATAAAAGTGGATGCTCATGCGTGAGACTCACACAATAAGCATGAGAGTTGTTAGGTTTATAAAGTACTGTAGTTACCAACACCTGAATTGAAAAATAACACTTACTTGGTTACAATAACATAAAATACTGGTTTCCCTGGAGAAGTTTTCTTGTAGTTAGACTCGGGTAAGTAGATATTAAAGTCAACCTTTGTAGCTTGTTCAGGTTCACAAGACCTAATAGAGAAGAAAGAAGACATCTACTAAATAAATAGCTTATGTGCTGATATCGATTCATTATTAGCGGTGGCGGATTCAAGTTGGGGGGGGGGCCAGCCGACCTGGGCCTCCCTTAAGTTTTGAAAAATTATAAAAAAATGGAGAAAAAAAGAAAATTATATTCAAATTTATAAGTCTGAGAGTGCCATAAGCTAGGTTTCCATACAATTGCTACACACTATCAATGCCGATCACTTGGTCAAATCAGTGAGCCTTCCTGATCACGTCGGGGCCTGCAACGCAGTACAACGATTGCACTAAAAACACTGTAGCGACACTACTGTATATCAGGCTATAATCATAAATTTTCTTATCTTAGTCCCAACCATCATGGGGCTGAGGTAGTCTAGACTTTGTTAACAGTACACATTTTCCTGTGAAATATATTAAAAATGCATTCTTGTAAAAAGTAACAGTAATACTTATTACTGTGAAATAATCGTTATTAATGCATTCAAGTAAAATATATGAGTCTATCTGTGAAATAAGTGTTGGGAATTGTGAACCGTACTTACTCTTCAAAGTGCAACAAAGCATTCACGTTTTGTATAGTCTGTAATTTGTGAAGTAGATTATCTGAAAAAAGTAGTTGAAACAAATCAATCAATCAATCAATAAGGAATTGTATAGCACCCATATCCAGGGCAGAATGCAATGTTCAATGGTGCTATGACAATGGATACTCAAAGTGCACATTAACTACTGAGGTTAATTAACATTAGATAAAAATCAAACCAATTAATAAAAAAGAGCAATTATTAACACTAACAATCATTTCCCCATAGTCATGAATAATTCATGAACATAATTGAATAATAGACTCACTAGTTGTCAGGGCATCAGATGGCTTAATGAGTGGATGGACTTCTCCTTCCCATAGGTGACGTACAGGCGACCCATGAAGGGGGTAAAACTCTTTGTCTTGTTTCTTGAGAAGTTTGTACTCGCCCCAGTTTCTCGGGGCGTCTATATTACCAATCACCAACTGTGTTTCTGTAACGGACCATTTTAGTCATTGTAAAGATTGCATTACTATCAAAGAATTATTTATGATAAAGAAATTATTATCATAATAATCATATTCATGATGATGTTAATCATCTTTGAATTTGAGCTGGTACATTACACCTCCTTGTTCTGGACTCCCAATGTAGACCCACTGTAAACAACTGCTTCAAGAGTGATGTTTGATTTTATACATCATTATCATCATCATTGTCATGATCTATCATCACAATCATTCATGATTTTGAGGGTCCCAAATGATCAGCTTCTGCTGGATGGTTCACCCTCATTAAATATGGTTCACATAAATAAATAAAATTATACAATGGTTCTCCTCATTGTGTCCACTGCCGCCACCATAATCGTCATCAGATTATCAACTGCCATTACTATTCATATCATTAGGCTTCAATGAAACCATCAAATAGTTTTAGCCATCTGCACAGGCCAAAAGAGGTGATTATCATTATATAGATCAATCATCCTATTCGGATTTTCCCTGGTTGGAAAATAGGTGTTGAATCATTAGCGGATGTTAATTAAATTTGAAATATTCGATCCTTTATTTAGTTTGGAGTTTGATGAAATCAGTGGCGTATCTATGGAGTCCGTGCACACACACCCCCCCCCTTCAAAAAAAAAAAAAAGAAGAAGCTCACTTCCCCAGATGCCCCTCCCGCATTGGAAATATCCACGCAAATAGTTAAAAATCACCTTGTTTTGCAACCTAGTGCCACCTCACTTAACCTTTGAACCCCACTCACTCAACCTTCATATCTCTTCTACTTGAGCACTCTGCTGGGTCATAGAGCAAAGGAAGTGTACAGTGTAAGTGCATGTGCAGGTCGATGTGTGTCAGACCCCCATCCCCATCAATTCCCCCATTTCAGGACACGCCAATGGATGAAATTTCTAAAAATTGACAGTAACTGACTTTATAAAGCTATTAATAAAAAGATTTCATACACTAGAGTTGGGTTATTATACTCAGGTTCAAATTAAAGCATTAAAAATGTGTCCTGCAGGCCAACAGTCAATATTTTCAATTATTAATGCAAACCTTTTTTTAGGCCTATAATAATCTCCATTTAGTGCATGGTTTCTGACTATGGATAACCTACCATTTGAAAGGTCGCATAAGTTTGGTTCAGAATCCCAGAACAAACGTGAAGATCCCAGTTCATCCACAGAAGTACCCAAAAATTGTTGGCTGTTTTCCTGACTTTCTTTCGGCAACAATGATTGTTGCGATGACAACATATTAGCCAAGACAGACTGCGGTAATTGCATTCGATCTACTGTTTCCTGTAAATTTGGCAGGCAAATTTCTTTAAAGTTCCATGAAGTGTAGTCATGGGTCGACTTCATTGCCTTCTTTGGTAAAGCTTCCACTGTGGGTAGAATAATATCAATGACATCCTCAATATCATACAGAGCCTTCTTGGAAGTCTGAAAGTAGTTCAGAACATCATCTATGTTGCACGATGACGATAAATTTCGTTTCTTAGTAAGTGTACATTTATGGGGGTGTGGATTCAATTTCATTTTTCGAATAGGAGCCGTTACTTGAGTTCGACCTAAAGCGGTTTGGTGTGAAAGTTTACTGCGTTTCTCTTCTGGTTGACTAAAATCACTTTGATAGCATACGCTTTCACTCACACTGTCGCACGACCAGAGGTCGTGCTCACTTCTGCTGATGTCCAATATATCATCTGCATTTATCGTTGTATTCATTGTTTTCATGCAGAATTGATAGAGATCAATGGATGAACATATCTCATCTACTTGGAATATTCCTTCTGAATTATTCCAATAATCCCCACCTGTAAGTTAATTATATGGTGTTATATTAATTTGTAGTATAGGAAAAGGACATGTCATAGTTTTAACATGTTGACTGCCAAGCATTTTTCCTAGATCTAATCCCTACGCCAAGGCATAAAGTGCACCGACATAATAAAAACTATTAGCATCAACTGTAATGAAACACAAACAAAGTAATTCTTGAAGGATTGCATGGTGAATATCATAAGAAAAATCATTAACTCTTGGTAACATGTGTAAAAATATGGTTTTTGATGTAAAACCACTGTTTTACCTGAAAAACCGTATTTTTATACACATGTACTGAAACACGAACACATAGGTGGCACAAACTAGTCACCCATCACAAAAATTGATTTTTTATTATTAATATAGAGTTAAAAAGTAAAATGGAAGCTATAAAATGGTAAAAGAATCATTTAAATCTGACGTTGCATTATGAAGTTACAGAAGTTTAAACTTACAGCTGTTTAAAAAACATTATCTGAAAAATCAGGATTTAAAGTTTATGATTTCTGGCATTTCTTTGGGAGAAACCATTACCAAATCGTTAAAAATTGTTGTTTTAACATTGACAATGAGGAAAATAATAGCATAGCATGATATAGATATATACAGGTTAGTTTAGTGCAATAAAACAGATTAAAAAATGTTGACATTTCAGCATGTTTAGGCCATTATCTCTGGAACACAATTTGTGATAAGTGACTGGTTTGGCTTGTCTTTGCCACATATAGTAATTATTTTTAGATAATTAATTCCGGATTCTTCCCCGGAACCTTGTGGGTGAGATTTGTGTTCTGGTGACCACTGCAAATGAGTGTATGTGCAATAAAATAGTGGCATGTTCAGACCGGTGAAGACGCGAGTTCATGTCTTAAATGCCCTGAGTAAACCCCGTCAGACGTGAACTCGCATCCCTAGCTGTGAACGTGTTAAAATCAATTATATGGTTATCGGGGAAGGCGGTTTGTCTCAGCGGTTTCCATTCTGGTTGCTGAACTTCTGGTCAGGAGTTCAAACCACACGCTGACCAATCTTGACCGGCCACGCTTAGATACCCCAACTTCCACTGTTGACAGGCTGTGAGTGACGGAGGCTATGTTCCAAGACTATTAAATTTAATTTGATAAAAAAAAAAAATGTGATATGCCTAAATATGGTCATGATGACATCACATACGACCATATATAGGCACATCATGACTATATATGGGCATACAACAGTTTTTTGTCAAAGAAAATATGATTGTGTGAACAGAACTTTAGCAAAAAGTTATTTTTGCCTTACCTTTTGCATATTTGTTGGCAAGGGCTAACCCTGACCTTGTGCTTTCCGAACTGTAAACTTTGCTGGTTTGAGCTGATGGGTCCATTTGTTGAAACCAATCCTCAACTTTTTTCACTGACTGGTCCTTTGTGTCACAGTGTGTATCAAAGCATGTTATATATAAATCAATATATATATATATATAATATAAATCATATATAATATATATATATATATATAATATAAATCATCATACAGTGTTGTAATGTGTATATAATATAAATCATCATACAGTGTTTAAATAAGGACATGATGGAACATCGTAGACTACCCTGTAGCTTTTCCAGGAATAAAGTCCTATAAAAGTCATTGTGTAATAACATGCCTCCGACGGGATTCGAACCTGCAACCTCTTGCTGACAAGGCGAGCGTCATAACCACTAGATCACAAAGGCTTCAACAGTATTAAACAGTGTTTTTTCTAGCTTTAAGAAGGTTTTACTGTATTATCATTATATAAACATGTGACGTTATGTAATATTTATTTTTTACAACTGTACTATTGGATATTGTATAAAAAGCAAAGACAGTCAGGAAATAAAAAAACAAAACAAAACAAGACAACTGATTTAATTCTAAAAACAGAGGTTTCAAGAAGCATATACAGTTGTTATATTTAAACAAAGAATGCTGTCATATAATTTGAACTATGGTAACAATTAGCAATGATTATAATAAGGTTAATATAATCTCACCCGTTGTGTTCATCAATGATGTATCCCAGTCGCATTAGGTAGGAATATACCTGTTAAAACAACATTAATACATTGGAATGCAAAAGGCAATACTGTTATTAATTCAGCATATGTTTGGCATGTTGTGGCAAAATGGCTAAGTTGTATCAAAAATTGAAATTCAAGTTATTGGTATTTTCAGATACCTGAGTATGTGATCTTTAAAATGAGGGACCATTCATTAAAATTGGACATTTCAAGCCTAAGCTATTGGAAAGTGAAAGTACAGTACTCTTAGAATCAAGATAAACATGATTTTGAGTAATTGCCTTTCAAAGTTATTTGTGCATACATCGTTTAATAGAATGAACTATCAAAATAACATTAAATAAACAATTTGTTGACCACTTCCAGAACTAATACTTTGGTACATGATTAATAANATTAAACTGTTGATCTATAGTGAAAAACAAATTTGGATTTTTAGGCAATTTTTGGAGCTCCCATATTTTATAGCTCATTTACTCAATACTGGCCTGTGCAACAACTTAACCATTTGGCCACAACATGCCTCATGTTTCATTTCCAAGACTCTGGGAATAGATAACATTATCTATTTCTACAATCCTTATCAATTACAAGTTTTAAGCCTGCTCTCACCAAGCACTATTGGATTGTATTTATTCGGTGTAAACACCAAGGATAGCCCACGAAATCTAGAAGAAGACTTATTTCCAGTGGGGTCCTTCTGGTGGTGATTGGACAGTACACCGGAAGACAATCCCCTACTCTTTTCCGAAGAGTGTACTGTGTTCTTTAACGTGCACATGGGCCATAAATGCACACGGGACTAATGGCTTAAACGTCTCATCCGAAAGACGCTATTGTAACTTGTATTTCAGCCCTCCAGCTGAAACACAAGGAGAGGCAGCAATGGGAATTGAACCGGGGACCTAGAGATCTCCACATTATTTCAATGTATTGACTATTTATTAACTGTTTATATTTGCTTAATTTTTTTATCTGACTGTATTATGATCCTTTCCTTTTGATCGTTTTTATCAATGTAGTTTGATGGCATGTTTAAGTATTGTATTTGTGTAGTGTAAGTAAAAAGGAAAGACTGCAAATTGTTTTGTTCAGGCTAATTGCCTATTCTCTTTCCTGGCAAATGATATATATCTTGAAATCTAAATAAATATTATTATTATTATTATTATTATTATTATTATATAATTTTTATTTCGATAATTCAAAGATTTTGTGCCAATGATAAAGTTCATTAAAACATAAAACCAATTTACATGAAAAAAAACCCACAAAACAAAACTTGGGACTATGTTTATACAACAATATAATAAATATGGTCATGATGACATCACATCGTGACCCTATATAGGCACATCAAAACTATATATATATATGGGTATACAACAGTTTTTTGTTAATAAAAATTTGATAGTGTAGAAACACCTTTAATGGTATTTAAAAAGGTACCAGAATTAATACTGCTATTGGCTCATGCTGATAATTATGCAAATTGTATTACCTGATAATATTCCATTGACACCATTTTGGGAATAAGAACATTGTAGGCTTCTTGCACTGACATTGTGATTCCATGGAATTGAAGGTCCAACGAACACTAACACAAACAAGAACAAAATCATTTTTCTATTGTAAATTTCTTTTCATTTCAAAATAGGCTTTGATAGTTATCTCTAATGGGAAGCTGCTTTTTTTCAGTGTGCATCTTCCTATTATTAAATACAACTATACTATTATTAATAGAGGTATGCATAGTACCGAAAGCAGATGATGATGATAAAACAGTATATCATTAATTATCAAATTAAACGATTTCTTTACTTACTGTTTCCAGAAGGTACAAAGCTTCCGAGGGCCTCAGCAATTTTTTGCCATCTCCATGGAAACCCATTGTTTGCCAGAATTTCCCCTGAATGTCAAATGAAAAATAACAGCAATATGTGGCAAGTCGAATGGCTGAGCAGCAAAGATCATCTTATAAACACAAGATAGCGTTCTCCGCGATTTACGCGTGCAAATTCTGTAATAAGGCATGAATGGCGCCCTCTTGCTAAATTGGAAACTTTTGACCCTTGACCGCTCTGACCATACCGTACACCACGCGACTTTACCTTTAGGGTATCAATCCTGTGAACAGCAGAACAGGAACCATCTCAAATCCATGGCAACCGATAGGACGCCCTCTTCCAAAACTGATTACTTTTTCTCTTTGGTATAATAGCGCATGAATGGCGCCCTCTTGCTTGGAAACTTTTGAACCTGGACCGACGCTTCTATTTGTTCGCGGAGAACGCTATCTTGTGTTTATAAGATCTTTGCTGAGCAGTTAAACCCGGGGCGCCAAACCTATAGCCGTAATATCAGCGCTGGTACAAGCTGCATGCTCGCTGCTGGTTCGGGCCCAGTATACACAACTGAATCATCTTTCAAGATGAATAGGGGGTTATCCCAGGACACTTAGGGGAGGAGAGAGTTACTGTACAAGCTCTGAGTGCTTTCAGACTGGTGTAATAGACCAGGCTATAATTGAGATAGGTGCCACTTGGAGAGGTAGAAATTCTCATATGGTTTTTCTAGACCAGTTTTTTATGGGGAATCAGAATATGTGAGGTAAAAGAGGCTTAACCTGAGAACTTTGGCGTGAGGGCGCTTTTTTCAAAATGGCCGCCAAAATCCAATAAACTACATATATATGGGTAAAATAAGCACAGAAGAGGTAGGTTTGACCAACTTTTGAATATGTAA